TATGTTAAAAACACATTAGACTTTGTTTGTAGACATTAGATTTTGTATCTATTGTAGCAGGCAGGTGCATTTAGTCCGTCCACATGACCTTAATGTCTTTGTTTCAGCCCAAACTAAATTCACTCTCTTTTATTCAGCCTTTAACAGCTTACCATACGACTGTTGTCACTGTTTTCCATGCCTATAGATGTTAAGTTGGTTTTAGTTTGTGCACTTAAATTGATTTGCCCTATTAAAGATTTGATGTGTTGCTCTTTTTTTAAAAGACGAAGAGAAATTTGGCAAGTTGTGAGACTTTTTGTTGTGTAAGCAGCCCTGCCCCCTCCCCTCCTGCAGCAGGTGCACGCTGTGTTTAACTCCGCCTTCAATTAATGGGCTAGCTTCAGAGAGTTTTCTATGCTAATGGTCCTTTTATAGAGCTAATTTGATTAGTCCATTGATTGATAATTCGTCCAGCAGAAAATCAATTCACCATTATGCTAATCGCTGTTAGAGGTAAATTCTCAAGCAAGAAAGCCAAACATTATTTAATTTCACCCTCTCAGGTTACTGCCTTTCTTACTTTGTCCCATATGAACATTCGCCAAACCAAATAGTTTTAAAACTGTGGGCTTTAGCTTGTGACATGATTTTTTTTAATTTATAAAAAAGAATTCCACCGTTTTGTCGGCCAAATGAACTCCTAGAACTGATTTTAACATGATAAAGGGCACCAATAGTCGGTAAGTTCTCCCATTTCCAGTAAAGTGGAAGGATCTATTCATCGTTTAATACTGACTATTCTATTAACACACCGCCACAAATAAATTGTCAACATGTGAAAAGCAGTGAGTCATTGACGGGATTGGGGACATGTGTGCTCTCCTGGAAACAGTGTGACAAACTAGTCCAATTGGACCCTGCTAATATCGGCCTCAGCTGCTTCGTCGTTGTTGTTTAACACCCTAGAAACATCTATAGTGTAATGGTCCTTAAAAACGTTATCGCCTCAGTGTGGTGGCTAAAGATAAGAGTCTCCTGTGCCTTGTGTGGTAACTGGCATCTTTCTCATTCATTTAGTCATCCATTTTTACCTAGGAGTTACTGAGGGGAAGATGGAGCTCACCCCCTTCCATTTCTGGTGTGTGTCACATCTATTGCGGTTGGCTACAGCAGAGACAGGGTAAATATGGTGTTGACATTTTTAGCCAACTTCTGTTACAGCGCTCCACTCTGCACACAGTTTCAGTGTTTGAACTGGTGCGACATCTTTGTTTAAGCTATTAGTAAAATGCAGTGTTTATGCATGTGCTCTGGCTGGTTTCGGTAGGAGTTTCTCTGCGTAATGTCTTCCTTTGAGCCTTTCGATGGCTTTTCCACGATCCTTCTGAATCCCCGGAGAGGCCGGCCATAGAAGTGTTTGGCAGCCAAGAAGAGCTTGTCCTACTCCTTCATCAAGCAGGTGAAAGCACGGAGCAGAGTGTTAAACAATGGGGGATTTGATGGCAGGCAGTGACTACAGTTTTGACGTCATGTGACAAAGCAAGGTCATGGGATTAGTCAACTATTTGAGGAACGAGTTTGTCCATGCCCATGTCGAATAAAGGAGGAACTGGGAACGAGATAGTAGTGTACAGGTCTTCTTTCGTCTTGTATGAAGGTAATCGTTACTCAAGCTCCCACAAAGATTTTATGCTGATTGCATGGGGTTAGGGGGCTTTTTAATGTCACACTCTTCATAGGGTACATCACCATGGTAACTTAAGCTGCACAGATAACTTGATCTGGAACAAGCTATATTCAGACTAGGGATGTCCTGAGCTGATATTTATAATTTATATCAATGTTTCAGTCCCTGACATTGCTCAGGCTGTATAAAAAGCACTGCCACATCTCTCTCTACCAAACCTCTCTGCTCTTAAAGAGACTATATTATCATTTTTTCTCTGATGATGGTAATACAATTTCTACTGTTGGTGTCATTGATTCATATATTTTGTCAGCAAACTTTGTGGCAGGTGATTTTTATTTACAGTCTGAGGAGTGTCTGTAGGTCGGCAGCAACACTTAACTACCACTTTGTTTTTCATTTCTGATAAATCTGTCAGATAGAAGCGCATGTTTATGGATTTTTTTTTTCTTGGTCTGTTGCCCACTGGCTATTAAAGCTGGGCTAACAAATAGCATGTAGTGTACATTAGTAAATGTAGATATCAATATTGAATGAATAGCCTATTAAGGCCAAGGAAGGTCTTTTATACAGTCTATGGATGCTCCATAGGTTTTGTGAGTTCCTATTTTGACTCAGTATTTGTGGGGAAAAGGTAAATGTGCATAATATTTGACATTCGGTTCTATCTGTTTTAACATACGTCTTTGCATCCAGTTTCTCCCTAATGATTCCCCTGCTTCTGTGACCCAGTTAGGAGAAAACTCTGTCTCTACCTCATTCAGTCTCGCTGTCTATCAGCAGATATGATCATAAAGCCAAATCCTTCTTTCGTTTGGTGTCTACTGGCAGGTTAAGACAGCACATTGGAGCGTGTTGTGAACAGCTCCAAACCCCCCTCACATAACACATGGGGAATGAAATGAACTATTTGTACAAAAACAAGACATTTGTGTAAAATAAGTTATGTAATGGAAGACTTTTGAAAGGGTTTAAATTACCAAAAAAGGAAAAGTTGTATAAAGATGTAAGAAACGGTGTGTTGTAATCAGCAGCAGATACGTCATATCTATAAGCTGCCTTCATACTGTATAGCCTAACTGATTTTATGTGCTGTAGGCCGGGCGATGCAGTCTTCAGGCTGTCTACACATGATAAGCGGCCTGGGCTTAACACTGCAGTGGGTAGCGCAGCAATACGTCACCATGTATTTTATACAAGTTATACACAAGACATCCAAAGTCAATGCTGAAGGAAAGTATAATCTGCTGGTTGTTGCAGTAATCCCCTGCCACGTATCCCCAACGTAAGGAAACAGCAAAAAATTGGGACGGCAGCGTGTTTCCAGAGGTAGAAATACTTTGTTACACATACAGTATTTCTAACACATTGTATATTTTATTACATATATAATATGGCTTAGCTTATTTTTAAGTAGAATCTGGCTATGTCATTTTCTATTATTTACTATTATGCACTTTTTCAAATATGGTTTCCATGTTGTTTATACATATTGTGTACTGTAGCATACTCAGTTTCTTTTCACATTTGATTCTGGTGTGCTTAAATGCTGGATCCATATTATCATATTACTGTGAATACCTTATTGCAGATCAATACTTCATCACAAACTATCCATCTGGATGTGTGTGTAGCATGGCAGTCACTGACTGGATTGGAGAAGCCAGGGTTAACAGAAACCGTTGATAACCAGTTTTGTGAGACAAGTTGCCCAGTGTGGATTTCCTGGTAGTCTGGAGAGATAAGGAGAAACGGCGTCCTCCTGAACAGACTCGGCGCCTGTTCAGACCTTTGGCTCTTTTATTCACATTAGCCTGTTTTTGAAGTGATTACGTCTCTATATCCAGTTGCTGGATGTAGATTGCAGCTCGAATCTTGTTTCAATGCTTCAAGCGCCTCACGCATATCTTAAGTGGCTGCTTGTGATCAGATGTATATTCCCTGCTCAGTATGCAAATTACCATATACATCACCACAATTTCCCCTTTCCGCCCTCAAAGACAAAAAAAACACTGAGGCTGTCATCTATTCTTGGCTCCCAGACTGACATACCCCAGTAGAAATGATACACTTTGTGTTGTTCACGATCCAGGGATCCATACTGTTATTATTGTTGCTCAAGAAGATTGTTGTTTGTTGTTGCTACTTGTGTCATGCAATTGTTGGCAGTTGCACAAAATTACATTTACAGCGTCTTCCACATACTGTAGAATTAGCTGAATGACCCTCCAGTGAGGTTTATGATAGGTTTTACCCCAATATGTGAACACATGTTCTGACTAACTCCAGGTGTTGCCTGAGTCTTTGCATCCACATTGTGTTTTTAGAGCAGTTAACTTGTAAAAGGATCACGCAACCTGCATTTAAGCTCAAAATGTGAACAGCTCACTGCTGGTGAAAGCTGGCCGTAAAATTCAAATGCTCTAAAATCTGGTGTGTGTGTACAGGCAAAGTGTTGGGTTTGGGCCCATAAGGAAGCTCCATGTTTGGCATTCAGTCGTGGCAGTGTGCTGCGGTTTAAACAGGCTGAACAGGCACAGGCTGGTCCGCACCTTGTCCACTGACCCTAATTCACCATCGCCTGCCTCTGATGTCATGTGACAGATTGTAGTTTTAGTAGAATCTGTATTTACATCTGTTTACCACTCGTGCTTAAGACCTGAAGTTGTCCGTTCTCTTGATTCATGAGTATTTCCTATCAGTGTTGATGTAATCGAACACACCTTTTAACTGCAGTGAGTATACGAGTCTTTGTGTTTGATCACAGCGTTGCATTCGAGCGAAGTCTGAGAACAAGCCAAATTAGATTGTAGTTTACAGTGATCTCTGCAGAGTCTATTAGCAGAGCAAAGGAACAGACTGGCCAGGACAAGGAACAGAGAAACTGGTATTACTAATACTCAATTAGCCCAGTAATGAAAAAGAATGACATTATTACCATAGCAAACCAAACAAACAAGCAGCTCTACTACACGGCTCCATCTCTGTGATTGACATGCATGAAGAGTGAAAATAAGCCTTGCCCTTCCTGAGTTCGATGGGAAAGGCCAGTTAAACTTGTTATTATACTACTGGGTCACTTTATATCTAATGTCTCCATAAGGCTCCCAGAATATACATATGTAAGCATTTTCTTTGACCTTTTTTCCTTTTTTATAAAAAAATAGCAAGTTTAGAGTAGAATAGCAAGAGATGTGTTTTTAAAAAAAACATAGCTAGTACTTTTTGAATGATATGTATTGATTTGCATGCACACACTGGCTCATGCAGAAGCACATAAATGTTGTTGTGCAGAGGACCGAATACTTCCTCAAATAGAGCTCATGTAAACAAGGTGCAGGTGATTTCCTTTACTGTCTGCTTTTGGTTTCACAGTGTGACTGCAGTGGTGATGGGGCTGTCTGAATGAAAGGCAAGAAGCTGCATAGGAGAAGAGACAGTCGGTGTAGCTGCAGTGCACCACCGCCCCCCTGCTGCCTACACCCCTGAAAATTGACTCTTCTCTTGCTTTATCCAGTGTGTGACGGAGGGAACTTTTGTTTGGCAAGATTCAGTATCCCAAATAGATGAGATGAGGATAAAGGCACCCAAGAGGAAGTGGAGCAGAAACTAATGAGTGTCAGTGTAGTCCAACGTGTTCGCAGCTGATTGGGAGACCCTATGAATAAGTCAAAAAATTCTCTTTCTTTCTCCTGCCTCTTTTTCTCCCTCCCTCTTTTCCTTCTCTATAGCTCTTTTGTGCTCGGTGAGGATAGTGGAGGGATGATCCTATCTCTTAGCTGGATCAGTTTGTCTCAGATCAGCTGGCAAGGCTAATGCTTTTCCAGGCATGCACGGACAATACTCCTGTGTTGTTCTCTGACCTGAGAAGCAACGATTATTTTGCGTTTCGAGGCTGGGTGTTGAGTTGGATTACCTTTACAAAATGGACAGATCCCAATAAAATGAGAACATTTAGTCTGTACATTACGATGCATGTTGCACTGATGCTTTAGCAGTCCTTGGTAGCAAAATGAAAATAGCTTGTGTTTCTGTCTTCTCTGCTTCTTGTGTGTGACTGTCCTCAGGCAGGAGGAGGCATATAGGAGGAGCGTGGCTATTTCAGTATATCCTAAACTTAATAAATTCCGCCTCTTTTCAACAGCTCTTTGTAGTTACTGAAGTATTCGCTGACTAATCAAATTTTTTGTTGAACACACTGAACATTAGCTTCCACAGTTGCCAAGCCAACCCTTAAAGCCAACCCTTAACAAGAATAACTTTAACAAGATGAGATATTAAGAGGTTCTTTTGACCTAAATTGGACTGCTTATTAACAAGTGCCATGGAACATGGAAAAAAAAAAAAGCTTCATCTAATCCCATTATTTGGGTTGAGTTTGGTTTTCCATAATCACTCAAGAGATTACACAACTGATCAATACAACAATATGTATGGCAAGACACAATTATAGTGTATACCATAGACTAGATACTATATCATCAATACGCTGGCACCAATATCACAAATTACTTTTTAGGTTTCGAGCTGGTCATGTTGTTGAGCCACTCTATGGCTGTTTTACATTAAAATAATGTTCACCAGATCGGGATGTTAAACAGATGATCTGTTTATCACTTCCATGGGCAATGTACAGTAGAGCTGCAACAATTACTGATTAGTTTTAACTACAAATGCTTCTCAAATGGAAATATTGTCTTACTGCTTTATTTGGTGCTTATGTTGTCTTTTATCTTACCTTTTTCATTAGATAAGCAAATTGTTGCTGTTGGATCTATCATCTGCCATCCACTGGGATCCAGGCGCTTGAGTCCTAAATGACAAGGTATGTCATGCAATTTCCTGTAACTATTTATTCCTTCATTTATTGCCCAGTAACTCCAACCTGCAGGTTACACAGCCATTAAGCAGTAATTGTTATTTTGTGGCATTAAACGGGTCGTTTTATTTTCAGCAGTTAGTTGACACATCAAATACATGAGCAGTAGTTTGAATCTGTTGTGCAGTTTGTTTTTGGTTTTCGATTGAAATTTCTCTAGAAGCAAACATGTCTGTATGAACTGTTTTCCTTCCAGGGAAGTGATGTATTTGTCAGACATTGGTCCAACTCTAACAAGAAACAACAAGAGCGCCCCACCCTGATCTCATGAGGGCCAAGATACATGATACACCTGCCAAACTGGCTCTGTGTCAGCATCCTATTTCATATTAAAAAGGTCAAAGCTTTCTATTCTAGTGGCATTGTATTCTAGTGTCAATGAGGTCTGAAATACCTATGTAGTTAGGTGGCCAATTGAAAATGGCTACAAGATTCACACTTCATTGTTTACATGGATAAACATATTGCCTTTAGAGGAGATTATGAAACTTGAAAGAAAATTATTTACACACCATGAATTAACTTTCAAAAAGTTGTAAAAGAAGAAAAGCAAGACATTTCTTTGTATTATTTTATTATGTATGAAGACCTTTTGAAATGAAAAGGCTGTATATGAAATTTACACTGCCAAAAGAAAACATTACAGTGGATCTGGAATAAATTAACGATACCTTTTTTTTTTTGTTCTATTATAACCTTTGGTAGTTTGTGTGTGTATGTGTGTGTACATTTTCTTCTCTTTAGCCACCCCTTAGATATTGTTAGGCCCACTTTCAAAATATTGCATGATCCATACACAAGTCAGAGCAGGATGCGCTCTCCTAACTCTTTTCTGTGGCTACTGAAACACTTGTCCAGGCTGCCTGAAGGCCTGCATTTCGGATGAAAAGGACAAGCTTGTCAAAAAAGTCCCTTCAGGGGTTTGATTACACACCTACTACACCAACTGAAAAAATAAAACACAGAAGCTTCATTTTTGACCTTTCAGAAAGCTCTTGCTTAGGTGTGACTGTGATGATTTTGATTCTATTTTTTTTTAATCAAAGATGATACAGATATCTAGTGAAGACCTGTGTTGGTTTTTACAGCATTATCCACATTTGTGGGGACGTTCATAGCGTGGTTTAGCACAATGTGTCATTGATAACTGGCTTAGTTAATCTTTTCAATCCGGCCTGTGTGTTCAGAACATTGACTCGAGATAACACATTGACGTCTAGATGGCCCCCCTAAACCATAAAGGAGTTTGTCTCGAGGGCACTACGTGTGCACAAGTCATGTGATGCAAATGGTGAAGACAACAAAACCGGATGACAGGCGGCTTTTGTTTCTTGCCTTTTGTAAACAGGAACAGGTTTGCCTTTCAAAGCTGAAGGATTTTTGAAGTGAAACATTCCCACATTTACTTGTTCAACCACTTTGCTTTTCCTGTAACTCATAGCCACTCTGTCTGTATAACTTTCACACCGCTGCAGGCTTTACATTAATCTACATTAGACACCTGGTTCTAAACCAAGGTCAACATACTAGTCTCGGATTTCCACAAGCATTATTTTTGTCTTTTTTCTTTTTCATAAATCAGCACCAAATTACAGAATGCACTGCGATACATGACTGTCACTTTAAGGACTGATACAGAATACCATTCATTTACATGTAGAAGCAGTTTACAGAGGGTAGGAGGTCATGTCTCATTGCAAGTCCTCTTTTCACCTACACTAGACTAAAATCCAGTAAACATTTTAAATGATTATGTATTACAAATTATTTAGAAGATGAAAATCTGTCATTGGTAATATGACGTAATATTCCTGCTTTAACTGTTTTTAAGAAGCTACAGCTTTGTCTTTGAAGGCCAGTCTCATTGTGCAGAACCTTTCAGCATTGGCACTGCTGTTACAGTCAAGATTTTTCTTTTAAAGATTCCTTATTCATAGAAAATCATGTGTTTTTAGAATATGCCAGAGATTTTGAAATGTGCTTCCATGAAAGGGAAGCTTTCGCTGTTGTATCAAACATGGTTGCCAGCATTCGTGCTAGAGACCAGTTTTCTTAAACTAAGTGAGTAGTAGTTCTTAAAGAGAATGAATCGGTAGAACAGCTGTATCTAGTGATAGACCGTATCTACGGATTGAATTAACCACCCTTATGCATGTGATCGAATATCTTACCAGAACATCTAATTGATTATTCCATGCACAGTTTCAGATGACGTTTAAGTGCTTTTGGCTCTGACACAGTTTTGCCATTATTAGACTCTCAGAAGTTTCTGGATGATGAGGTACAGTTCCAATGTAGCTAACTTTTGCTTAGTCACATTAAACCTACAAAGGGCAGTGGAAACAAGTATACATTTGACCAGATTTTAAGTGTAATGTCAAACTTATTAGCAAGCAATTGTTGGGGAGAAACATTATGGCGACCTGCTGAATGCAAGTCCAACTCACTTTTGGCTCTGTTGTAGGTCTTCTGAGGGAAATATCTTGCTCTAGTCTCTAACTCTGCGTATCGGCTGTTTGCTGCTGAGCAGTGGGGTTTTAGCGCCTTTTTTGTAGGAAACAGCTGCCTGCTAGGCTGAAAACAAAGCTATGAGAAAGCGTGTGAAGTTGTGGTCAGACAACAAATAATGAGTGCTACCTGCTATAAAGCTCTGTAAACCGCAGAGCTTCAGATTCAGATAATAATTCTCTGTAGGCTCATTACGAGTGAACCTTTACGCATCGTCATCTGAAGCAAAGATGATGAAAGCCTCAGTAATCATTATTGATTTTCTTTCTTCTAAATTAAGACAAGCTGTTACTTCTATAAGAAAATGACACCTGTGTTAATTACAGTAGTTCACACTCAGCTCTGTGTTTAACGTGATGCAGAGAGCACCGTTCAGTGTATTGTCAAATCAGCAGGAAAAATGGACTATTAAGCTGGCTTGTTGTGTTCCTGTGTTGTGTAGATTAATAAAAACAAATTCTCCTAAATTATCAATAACATTGACATGTCCAGCCTATTTTTGAATAGATATATTAATATTATGCACATACAGATACCTAAATATTGACCTACATCTCTTTGTTCTTCTTGGCACAGCTTGCACTTAAAATGCTAATTTGTAAACTAATTGCAGTACTTTCTGGTTATCGAAGTGCTGTGGTACTTTATGAGCTTATGTCTGAGACTGAGAATTGTAACTGTTAACTGTTTTTTTAAAACTGCATTTAATGAGCAGACTTTATGACTTTAACGAGGCATAAGGGGAATGTTATCCATTTCCATATTCTCCAGTAGGCTAACAAGGGAAATGTGGCAGTTGTCTGCATGGATACATGGCTCTGACCTGAATGTGTCTGACCTGGTTATTGAGATTTGGCAAACAGTATCTCGCTCCCTCTGTCATTCTCGCTCACATGGACAAACGCACAAACAGACAAGCGACTGCATCTGATACGTAATCCTGTATCTCTGTTTACTGGAGAAGCATCATCTTTCACACATAGATATCACTGAGAGGTCTTAAAGAACTTCTTTTAGTGTCTAAAACAATGCCCATTTATTATTCAAGTTATAATAAATACTTTTGAGAAGAATTGTTAATCTAATTACCTTGCAAAGCCAAACTAAGATATTTACCATCACTGATATTTTATGTCTGGCTTGCTAATGTTCTATCCATTCTGCTTTTTCTGTTCTTGGCCATCTGTGCGAGTAGCCTAGATCATGAGCAGAAAGCCCTCCAGGTCCTCTTGAGCTCTACCAGTTGGAAACGAGACAAGCTGCATTGCTCTGTAGCACTTGAATGCACTGTAAATTCATATCAGCATACTTGTTTCACTGTAAACATTAATCTGCTGCTTCTCTAGTATGTCATGGTTCAAAATAAACTGTTGCTGTAAATGACATAAATTTGTATATTCAAAGTGTCACGTTGAAGTGATCTTACTGTACAAATAGATAAGGTTCTCAAAGCGGCGTCAATTGCCAGGCACAGTGAACATTCACGAACAACAATGTAAAAGGCTATTTTTATTTATTTTTATTGGCTGTCAAATGCTGCACCATAGCAAAATGCTATTTGACATGATCCAATTTAGACTAAAAACATGTTAAAAATCTGAATAACATGGCATTAATGAAATATACAGCTCACTCACAGCTGTGCATTAATGACTCCCTCCATTAATGGTTTGTATAATATCCTTGGAGAGAGCAGTGTCAGTTGGTAAATATTGTGACTGGAAGGTTTATGCAGGATTTGGACAGTCTGTCTTCATTCCAGGAAAGAGCAAATATTGAAGTTTAAATGCTGTTTTCAACCAACAGTAACATTTCAAAGGCAATGGTGAACTGTTTTTTTTTCTCTAGCTGTCATTGTGAATATTTAATTTAAACAGCTGGGTGTTGTTTATTTGTGCCGTATCATAGTTTACTCAGTCGTAATAATATGCATCAGGACAGGAAGACATTCCATTGTTTTTGCAGGTTGCAGCTGCTGTACCGTTAATGCAGTGGGTTGTGTTTATTGCTGTGTTTTTCCTGAATTAAGATTATAGTTTGGACCAGAAACCAGAGAATACTGTACTGTTATGATCATTGATTTGAAAATGTGTATCGTTTTTTAAGTAGGTAAATATTTGTTTAGTTCTTGGGCAAACGCATTCATGTGGCGTCAAGCCAGCAACGGTCTGCCTTTCTTGAGTAGTTTGTATGTTTAAACATCATGTGCAAATGTACTCTAGTGAAGAACCTGATAATTATAAAATAGACTCTATTCCAAAGCCCCTAGTTATTGCGACATAGTTAATAAGAGCTAATGTCATGGTTCGAGTGTCCTCTCTGCAGAAATGAATCTCAGGGGCTCATATTTAACTGGATCTCATATTTAATTAAGAACTTACTGGCAGAAAGGATCTTTGAGCAGACCACTATTTATAACCAGCAGGACTTTCTCTTTT